ATACATTCATCGTTTTGGCTGCAGTAGCGAAAAATCAGAAGTTTAAGAACAATTCTTCCTCAAATCAATTTCTTTTTCTTCGATTATGTACTCTGGTTCCGGAAGATGATAAACAGATAGTATCTGGTGCATAGATGCAGCATTACATTCTCTAAAAAAACTACTCCATAGACGCTTTTTCTTGCGTCGGTTAGTTGAAACAGAATTAAATATGAAAATCGTTCGACGTCAAACAACGTTAACTTAGATGCGATGCGCTTGTAGTTTGTTAAAAGATTCCAAAGCATCACTGATTTATAAAAATGTAATTTTTTATTTTGTGGATTTCTACGGTTTTGAAACACGGAAAATTATGAGTAATAGTATGAACAGGTGCAGTATTTTTTTCTCTAAAAAAACCTATTTAGACTTTTGCTCTAAAATAATTAGGGGAGCTAGTAATTGACTATAAAGAAATTACCATTGAAATCCCTATGCTGCGTCGCGCTAGGCACCCCCCGGTAGATGATATTTCATTGGAACCAGGTTTTCCATCTGCAAGTCCCCAGATAAAACAGTGACCATTTTAGGTTCCCAGCTTCATAGACAGTATCGTTATAAATTGCGTATCCAGCGTATGCAGATTATATTTCAGCACAAAAAGTTTCCTTCATAATGAAACTGTAGCATAAAATGAGTTTAAATAATAATAATAAAGTTTATTGTAAGCAAGAATCTTACAAATGGACAAGGGTTCACCTGGTTAGGCGATCTACCACCCTTCCAAATCTAATCATAATTAAAAGGTATAACATAAATCTCTTACCAAGGCAATAAAATTAACATTAATCATTGAGTTATACCTACAGTATTGACAATATATGAGTATAATAATATTTCTATAAACTAAGTATGAAAATAAATTATAAAAAAAAAAAAATAAATAAATGTAAAAAAATAAATAAAACGTTGATCCGTCGCACAAAAACGCGCTTAAGTAGCTCGGCGCATCGAGTACTTTCCAACTTGTTTTATTAGAGCGCATTAGAGTTAGTTGGATTTCACTCCCTCGGACGGTCGCAAAATGAAGTCCAATCTTTTCCATAGCTAGAGATGGATTTTAACGTTTTAACACACATGGGAGTTTGGAACAGTTAAAACATTATTGTTTTCAATTTTTTGGGTTGTGTTAGTAATGAATCTTAACAAATTACTGTTAAATGAATTTTTTGCGAGTATTTCGTCCCCTAGGGCGGTAGGGCGATGGTTAAATGAATGCCAATTGTTTCGATGATACATAAATGACTGATAACACTTTAACAAACACGGGAGCTCGAAATCTTTTTTTTGTGATTGTTAAATATATTGTTCTTTAAGATAAAAGAGTCTTCTTTACCTAAGCGCAACTTTTTTACATTATAGTGTATAGATGATTATAGCTGCAAGAGATAAGATAATATTCTTGCTTTGTCAACTCCTGTCTTGGTCCTTAGTTAGTTCCCACCGACACTGTGCAGTGGCGCCACTTGTTTCACTCAAATTGTTGATTTAACGCCCGCCAAGATACAGACTTTATTTACAGAAATTATGATTTCATTTTTTGGGTCCATGTTTAGAAGTAACTTATCTAAAAAACTGTCGGTTTACTTTTTCCATAAATCGTCTTGATCGAGAGTAAAAAAATAAAACAGATTAGCTTAATAATCGGTGCGAAACATCTAATCTGTAAACAATCGGTATTCAGTTGCTATAAACTTAAAAAAAAATAGTCCGAACATTTTGTAGATAAAGGTCTAAATTTATAAAATAATTCTTAAAAAAATTGTTTTTGGAAAAACAAATAGAGTTTTTATGGCGGGCGCTCTTATGGAAATTTACATTGGGTGCAGTGGGTACAGAAGACTCTTAAATGAACCTTCTTTCGTGGATATTAAATGAATTTTTTTGTATTTTAGAGGCGGATACTAAAGACGAACGTTACCGCTTTATGAAATATGAGAATTTGAAGCCTTCTTTTTGTGAGAGGTAAACGAAAAAAGAAAAATATAAAAATAAAAAGTGCACTTTTGCGCTCTTTGATATGTCTGTTTGTCTGTCTGAATCACAAAAGCTCCGGAACTACACCACTTACAGACTTGCTATTGGTGTCATTCGATCAGAAATTCAAATTATTTCATGTTTGTATTCTAGTTAAGGCATGAAATTAAAATCGAAAAAACAAATTTGAAAGTGCACTCTCCGCCTTTTGCTCACAAGCGACTCAAAGAATTTTTTTAATTTTAGGTAATTGGGTATTGATTGCAAGCGTAATTGTTTGGTTTTTTTTAAATATCCCTCTAGTCTTTATTGCACATGCTTATACTGTACTTGTAACTATAGAAGCTGCACAACTGAACATTCGGGTGTTTTTGACATTCGGCTGTGGAAAACTGGCTGCTAACTCCACACAGAATCCCAATTTCTAATTCTAATCTGCACAGGGAGCATAGGTTCATTTTCTCGAAACCCGTGTACGTGCCCTCTCACTTTCAGAATTGCCTGAAGAATATTAAATTTTCTTAACTTTTGTTTTTATTTATTTAAACCTGCATCCACCTTTCGGTTATTAGCAACGGAAATTTAGGCACAATTTGGTACATAGGTATCCTTAGATCTGTGAGGTAATTAATGTCTTTTAAGTAATTCATAATTTGAATAACGTTTTTTGAACCTTTTAATAGTGTATTTAAGTTATTGTTTATGTTATGTTTTCGTCGGTGTTCACAATGTTTAGCACACTCTGTTAAAACGTGTTTTACGGTTATTGGCACCGTGCACCTGTCGCAGAAGGGTGGTGCGCTATGATTTAATAAAAAATTGTGCGTCATCGCCGTATGCCCGATTCGTAGTCGAGACATTATCACTTGTTGGCGTCGTTTTATCTGTATGTCGTTCCATGGTTCCACTGTAGCTTTGATTTCTCTAAGTTTTGAATTGGATTGGTTCCATTCTTGTTGCAATTTTTCACGCACTTTTCTTTTAAAAAAATGTTTTAGGTCACTAGGGGTTGTGAGACATATTGGGTTGTCTGATTATTATGACTATTAAATTGTTTGGGTACATTTGTTTAAGGCTATATATATGCGTGTGGGGCGGTACATATTTGTCGTCTATAAAACCATTACTTGTTGCTCAGAAAAAAATAATTCGATTGATTTCTGGTGTGTCATAATGTTACATTCGTCATTTCCCTTATTTGTTTCATTAAAAATACTGCCATTAAGATACATGTATGTGTTTCGTGTTTTAAGAATGTTCTACCTTAGGAGTGGTCACATAGAGGGTAATTATAACGTTCACTCAAACAGATTAAAATCTAAGAACCTTGTGTGGACTCCTAAGCCAAACATCGAGGCCTATAAGCATTTTTATACATACTGTGCACCATATTTATTTAATAAATTACCAAGCCACATATCTAGTATAAGAATATGTACGAAATTTACAAATAATTTAAAATCTTGGTTACTAACAGTTTGCGACGTAGAAATTCTTTTTTTACAATAGGTACACCATTTATTTATTTGTTTATTTTTCTCTTTCTTTTTCGTTAATCTTTAAATAGTGTATTCTTTGTAGGTATAACTCTTTGCCTTTGTCTCCATCTTGCTTGATTTTTACTGTGTTAACAAGAAGATAGGTTAATAGGCGTATCATTTTCTTATCTAAAGTTTAACTTTCATTACACCGTTCTATAAATCTCTCGCCACTGATATCATTATTACTGCAATTTTTAAGTTCTTTTTTCTCCGTTTAATTTATGTAGTGCATTTGGAATTAATATTAACTTGGTTTTTTAAGTGATGGTAACCTCAACACAACAGTAATTGTTTAATGAGGTACCTATCTGCGATTCATCTAGTCTTATTTACTTGTTTTAGTGTATTATTTTTTTAGAACATATTGTTAATTTTTGTTTGTTTTTGTGTATATCCAATGATGAACGTGGAAATAAAAGTATCTATCTATCTATATTACGCTCAGCGAGTCTATTATTATTAGAAAGTGCGTTTGGTATTCGAGTGCCTTGAATACTTACTGCAAATGCTTCGCCGGTGAATACGCTGTATGAACTAGGTAGCTTGTAGCTCAGGCTTGTGGTTGTAGAGTATACAGCTGCTTCAACTCCATCTTCGCATTTGGAAGCATCCGTATACAATGTTTTATATCCTGGAAAGTTGCTGCGAAGAGTATCTTTAAAAAGGTTCCTGAGTATTGAAGGGTTTGTTTCAGACTTGGTAAAGCGGGTGAGATATGTATTGCAATTTGGGATGCTGGTGGTCCACGGTGGTGTAAGTTCGTTGTTGAACGGTAGGGCATTGTCGGTAGGAAAACTAACTTGGAGGTTGTTTGTGAGTTGGTTTAATCTATGGTAAAGAGGTTGATCTAAATGTGGTTTGGTCTGGTAGGTGTTGTAAAATCTGTTGTTGAAGACGTTTTGATAGGTTTGAGATTGATGCTGCATAGGCTATGGTGAAGCATTTTCTTTTCCTTTCAAGAGATGGCTCTCCTGATTCACATAATAGCTTTGTATTGAGCTCCAATGACCGTTCTAATGGTCGTGTTCTGAATTGGGTTTAGCAGTTTTAGTTGGGATTTTTTGGAGGATGCGTATACTATGCTTCCATAATCTATTTTCTCTAACTTTGACTTTGGCGTCCATGACAATATGAAATAATATAAAACAAATAAAATAAATTTTTCTCCTTATGTAAACGAATTTGCAACATAAAAAACTGAATAATAATTGTTTAACAGTGGTAGAACATTATAATATCTAAACGTGTTCAACTTGTACGTGCAAAAAGGTTCAACATATTTAGCTAATACCTACCTTTAGAAGATATTGTACTAATGTAAGTCACGGATTCTTGAATGAATATCAAGACCATTAATAATTAAGTCAAGTCTGCAACATCAAAATGTCATTTTCTTTACGTGTTCTATTGATTAATATGCTGATTATTTTTTTTAATTTACAGATTAGCTGAAAGTCGGCGAGCGATTTCGATAGAAGTTGTAGGTCCGGTGAGTGTATTTAAATTAAATTATCTAAATTTGTAAAACGTCGCTTAATTGAGCGCAGATGTCACATTTCCGTAATAACCATTTTAATTCCGAAGATGCCGATTTAAAAAAAATAATTAAGAACGAACGGTATTAAATGCCGCTTAGGTATAGTGCTTTCATTGATTTTACGCGCTTAACGGAATTGTGCCAGCGCTTTGGTGAGGACATAGAATTAACGGGTAGGAACCTATTTAACATGTATGAGCTGTAGAGCGACATGCATACCCAAGGGTAATTCAGTTTATTGGTAATGACGGTAAGTCATGCGACAGTCGGTTTGCGGTAGAGATATCGCAAAAGTAGTACTTTAACTAGTTTATACGCAAATAAAAGAAAGTGCATATGCGTATACCTACATACCTACCACGATATTAATCTTTACATTTCAAATTGTCGCATTGCTTGAGAAAGATGGCCGATAAGCGAGTTGTACCTGTGACAATCAGATAGGTACTCGATTTGTATATCAATGCGAACCGCAATGTCAACTGTCAAATGGAGAACCCACTTTTAACAAAAAGACATGACATGACTGAGCACAAAGCACTGCGTTATCTTCACATCTGGATTTGTTCTCATTGCGACATTACAAAGTATGTAACGTTGATTAAATTCTCGCAATGCCATCATAGGGTAATTGCCGATGGTAATTAATCGCACCTCTACGTCTACCCCAGTTTACTGTGCAACTTCCAAGTTTTATTAAGAAATTTAAAAGTGTCTATGATGCAAATTTGGATTCAAAGCCTTAACATAAATCGGCTTTAAGGGGTTGGAAAGTTTTTCTGTACAACACAGTTGTGGTGAAAGTAATTAGTCATTTATAAATCCAGTAATTGCACATAAAAAGATAAATAGGTGCTCCGGGCTTAATGGGCATCGAGCTTCGCGGATTTCGATCCTTATGTACAATATCGTGAAGAAAATGTGTTTTTCACTTTAGAAAGGAAACATGCTGCATTTTTGAATAAGGGGCTTCTTAAGATACTAAATTAGTCAACAACCACGTTCTGGTCGTAAATTTAAATGCAAATTAGGATTATATTAATCCTGATTATTAAATTGAAAAGTTTGATTTTAACCTAAGTTATAATTTCTTCTTTACAGCGGCTTTGTGTACTCGACATTTATAATTGCTCGTAGGACTTTTATTCTATTTTACGGCAGGATACAATTAAATATTATAACAGGAAATCGTTTCCGTTGAAAGTTCGACTGGGCCTATCGCAAAAATTTAAAGGATGTGCCGTGTATTTTCTCAGAGCCATCAAACAGGATCATAAGTGACCCGGTTTGTCATAATTAATTATTCGAACAACCCGCGACAATAAACGTTAGGGAATGAGATTCCGGACGTTTTAAGATTGCGGTTAATTTAATTTGGGAATTTAAGCTTTATAACCCTCGTCGTTACTTTTTTTAATTAATAGCGGAAATAAATTGCTGTCGGACGAGCTTTTGATGACAAAAATTAAGGCGGCTTTAGCAATTGTCACAGATGCGAATGCATAAACTGGTAATCCCCAAGATCTATTACGGTTAGTTATACGCAATTAGTGCTGGGGGCGTTCCGTAATTAAAGACGAAACATTTTTAATATCATATACATTACCAATTCTCTCATTACTGTGGAATCTTTTATTAGAAAGACATACAGTGAAGCAATTTTTTTTAAGTCTACTTCCTACAAAATAACTAGGGTTACAAAGAGGGGAAATTTAGATTAATTCAAAGTTCAAAGGATCGTTTGGCGTGTTTGCTTTGTGACTCTATGCTTCATTTACTGATTATTTCCACTGGCCTGCTTTACAGAGCTTAATGTCTTGTACATGCCGTTAAAATACTTTAAAAATCAATTCGTGAAACATGTTTTACAGCTGTAAACGTTTTCAACGCTGCAAGATATTTTCACAACCTAAAAAATATATCGAAGTTTGTTAGGTAAATTATAATTCAATTTAAATGTATATAAAAAGATAACATCTATTCGTGTAATTTAAACGGTATGAAAGTGACAGAGGCCCAGCAGGAGCCCAGTGATATTCTAGAGCTGTCACAGTCCGCATTCTTACTGAGGACGACCGCATTTGATTCAAACTGATGGATTGTAATTGTTGCTTTTCTTTTTTTACTTTCGAAAATAGTAACATGCATCGTAACATGCCTTCCACAAAGTTCGGTGTTGATTTTCATGTAATCCATTTAAGCTCTTCATTGTATAAGTTCGTGAAACTTGTGTCCGATAGTTAGTTTTTCATGGGTCTTAACGTTATTCCAAAATCAATACTTTCGATGCATATACTTCACATTTCGCTTTCCAAATTGTTAGCTCAAACGCAATTTTTTATTAAACGATGCTAGTTCCTGTAAGTTTGTTTCGTCAATCTTAATTTAAAATAATAGTTTGTCCACCTGAAACCAAATGAAAAATTTACTCTTGAGGATATAAAACTTAGCTTCCTTAAAAAAATTAATTTTTGAAACGGAAAGAACTACACTTTTCTGTGCATTTAATGCGTGGGCTCTGTAAACAAAATCAAACAAAAAAGTCTACAAAAATAAATGACGGAGTCTATTAAACGCTAACTAAGATGGTATTATCTGCAGCAAGTCAATATATGACCATGACTACATACATAGTAACCGTTACCATGGTGGACAAGAGAAGTCTCTGATGCAATAAGGAACGCTGAATTCACTTCTGGCAATTTCGGAAAGAACATCAATTACCTGAATACCATGTAAACGGACGAAACCTGCAATATTAGGACAAGGTTAAGTTTTTGGGAGTGGTGTGGAAATTTAAGCTTAACGGGAAGGCCCACGTTCAAGAGATCTGCAAAAAGTCTAACTAAACGCTTCAGAAGTATAATGGAGAAGGTCTAGTGTCTTTTATCAATCTACTTAAACGCTTCAGGTAATAACACATCCTCCATGGGGCGCGGATATTGAAAGTATAAGAAGTATATCTGTTGCAACCCTAATGGCCAGAATAAAATATGGAAGTGAAACATACAGTTCGAGATGAGCACCTAACAACTCTTGTGTTAATTGAAGAACTGACCAACTAAGCTATAAAGCTCACACTCAGAACGAGCTCAATTTCCAAGCTTTACAACGAAGCCTACGTTCTGCAGTTAAAGTACCAAAGGGAAATCAGCACAACTGGAATCAAACCCGTACTAGACGAAACTGAAAGTCAGAGCAAAAGAAATACTGACAAGAATAGGGGGAAATCAGGAGTAACGAGAAAGCAGACGATCTAGACAAGACACCCTTAATCCAGAGGTAGATCCAAACTGAGTATCTAAAGCAGATCAGAAAAGACAACTGGTGAAGATATTTTATGGCGAAATGATTCTGGGAACAACTATCTCATTTTGTAAATTTAATTACGTGCTGTATTTATTACCTACAATTAATTGACAATAAATTTATGACAGTATTCAAATTGATTAATTTATAACAGTAAAAAAAGTGCAATTCGATTTGCTTATAGAGCAAAGTCGAATGTTCCCAGGTGGTCACGAACATTCTAGGATAAAATACGTCATATTTCTCGGAAAGAATACATCACACTACTTTATCGCCAATGACTAATCTTTCATGGCGCCTCGATGTCTATGGAAATTTCTGGAATTTTCGCTACAATATGTATAATCAAACTCACCTTCCCTCATTGGACATATAAGAGAGATTACTTTTTCTTTGCTACCCAATTCTGTGGACTATCGTACCTTGTGGACAATTAACTACTGTATATATAGGGCAATTAAATTTATTACCAAAGAATGATTTTTATTGATTATATAAATTACGTTAGCACCAGTAAATCCACTGTTTCATTAAGTATCCGGTTTAACCACTTTCTGCTAAATTTAAGATCAATTAGAACAATAATATCGTTGACCTTTCTGTGAAGACGATTATGTTCGCTGGAAATGATGTGTATGTGAAATTTGGAAGAAGGTAGAAAACTTTACCTTAATTACAGTTAATTAAACTCTAGAGGGTTTCCTAAAACTAGATAGGTACTTAGAATCATAAATTCCTACGTAAAAAAGTGTTTTGGAAGACTAATAATTTATTGTGTTTTTTCCAATTGCCCTAGTCCGCTTACTGAGGGCACTAATCCTATATTGCAAAATTGGAAACTGTTTGGAACTTAATTGTGTGCTAATTTCCGTATAGCATACAAACTTTGTGGTCTCATGATTTTTGAGTTCCCTTAAAATGTTGTGCTAGTGTAAGTCGAATTTGTGTTTCCCTATTGGGTTATCAAGTTTTTAACCATCTTCGAATTTTCTACTCGATGTAGCTGGGATCCTAAGAATTTTTTTGGGTCAGTTTGACAAAACGTATTAAACCCATGACGGGGGAAAGTCGATAGTTTTTCTAACCAGTAACGAGAAGCAACGTACGGAAAAGTGACAACACTTCCACTTTTGTGGACAATGATCGTCTCCCTTTTGCACCTAGGTCTCTAGATCGGTAGGTAGCAGTTTTTTTTTTATTAACTGTAAATTGTACCACTACTGTCCATTAGTCGGAAAATCGCATTGAAAGCTATCTATATTCATGTGTTTTTACGTGATTTCCTTCAATATAAGCTGTGTAAAAAAACAGGACCTATCAATAAAGTACAAAATACCTAGGTAATTTGATTAACAGTTGCAGTCCAGTATAGATTTACGAATGAATTTACATTTAAATCGGCCCAGAACTTATATAGGAGATGCTATAATTGGCGTGACTGGAGGAAACTAAGGCCTTAATTTCTTACGGTATCTGTACAAATTGTGTTAACATATTAATTACAGAAAAAAATGCTAAAAGAATTAGAAGACATAGACGAAAAAATAGGCATGTAGGTACTTTTGACCTCATTTATTTGGGGACCAACCAATCGATTGTTTCGCACGCACGAATAGAATGCTTATACAAATCACTTTCAATTT